ATATATTCTCGAATAAAATAGCTGGAGAATTATTGTTTTCTTCACTTTAAACTCTTCCTATAAAAACCATGGTTGTTATCCTTTCTAAACACAATCAAGGCAGTCACTTTCAATCATATCTTTTTCATTTATAAGAGTTCTCCTTCTAGTGAAAATTACTGAAATAAAAATGGAGGGTTTGAAGAAGTTGGCTATGGTTTTCACCATTTGCATGATGATGCTTGTGGCTTCTGGAGCAGAAGCACCTGCACCTTCACCTTCAATGGAGAGTGCTGCCATTACTTTGTTTGTCCCTGTTTTAATGGCTGCCTTTGCTTCTATGGCTGCTTTCCTCTTCTAATCAAACTTTTTCCTTTTCTTTTTTCTCTTCTCTTTCATTTTCAAATTTTTGTAATTTGTTACTGCTTTGTTGGGATTTCATCATCTTAATTATGAGAGTTTAACTCCATTTTGAAGTTGAATTATTAATCATGAAAATAATTAAAACATTAAGGGATCTTTACGCAAATAGCCGGCCATATTTAATATTTATTTTTTCTAGCCATATACATAGTTTGTACATTGATTATACACAATTATACATATATAACACATAAATTAACATATATTATACCTCCTCTGCCTATTTTTAGTTTGTGCGACTATTTGGGTTAATTCTTCAAACGTCATTAATGACATCCACAGTGCTCAAACAAGAAGCTAGTACAACAACAACAAACTCAATGTAATCCCACAAATAGGGTCTGGGGAGTAGGGGTGTCAATGGTTCGGTTCGGCCGATTATTTTATAAAACTTGTACCATACTAATTTTTCGTTATTATGTTATGTATAACAAAAATTAGACTTTTCGAAACCGTTCCAATCATGTCGGTTTCTCTTCGGTATCGGTACGGTTCAGTTAATTTTCGGTATTGTTTTAAATATCATGTAAAATTCACTAGTAGAAGTAGAATGCAATAACGTACGTTCTTTTATAGGACTTGGCAGAACTCTCTAGACATTTTTACTGTTTAAAGGGTGATGAATTAAAAAAAAAAGATGGCTAGAGCATAGGTCCATCAACTATTCTACAACAACGTAAAAGAAACCAAGCAAATGCAAAGAAAATATAAATCACACGAGTGGAAAATTATTAATCAAGTTGGGACTCAAGAATAAAGTCTATAGAAGATTAAATATTCAAAAAGATAAATTCAAATTATATGAAAGAAAACACATCCAATACATTGTAGTTTGCTAGTCAAAATCGCTAGGATACTTTGTCTCTTGCTAATAAAAATACTTGAAATAACTTAGTTTAAGTAGAAGTAGCATAATAGATTTTAGGAATGAGTATTTTGAGTTTAATTACTTGTTGGCTTGTAATAGTTTTAATAATTCGAAGGTCCAAAGAAAAGTTTAATGCATTATTATTTTTAAACTTACTAGATAAATATATTTTTCACATGTAAATTATTCTGTACAGTTCGGTATTTTTTTGGTTTATTTTTAAAAAATGTAAAAACCTACCCTAATTACCGGTGCGGTTATAGATTATATAAAAGCCTACGGTTTCTTAAAAAGAAACCTAAAAATCGGTTCGGTGCAGTACGTTTCGGTCGGTGTAGTCAGTTTTCGAATATCCATTGACACCCCTACTGGGGAGGGTAGAGTGTATGCAGATGAAAAAGAAGCAATAGCAGCAAGCAGTGACAACAACACAAAAATAGATCAACCGAAGCGAAAGGAACAAGAATAGGAATATAAAATAAGAAACAAAAACAAGTAGTAAAAGAAAACTAAGCATAAGAAAATACGAGAGCAATACTAATACTACTGGTATGGAAATCAAACAAGAAGCTAGAATCACCTCCCGATTAAATAGCAAACAGACATCAACATGCGTAATTTTGTAACGTCGTAATCTCTGGAATAATACTAATTGTAATTCCTTTTCTCTCATCTTTCACTAGTGCTGTGAATTTAGTGCAAGAACTTATTCACGGGGAAATCTAGGTGTTTTGTCAACTTTGTTTCTTTCTTCCTAGTATGAAATTACATCTTTTCACTTCAAGTGTCACGACCCAATTTCCATACCCGGTCGTGATGGCGCCTCTCGTGAAGACAAGGCCAGCCAACTAACTCAAATCCTTTCACTAACAATTATTAAACATAAATGAATAGAAGATACAACCTAATGGCATTAGAAACTGTTAGTTACTACCCGGCCGGGGTGTCACAAGTCACGAGCATCTAAAGGAACCTGACTTAACTACAGGGCCAATATTATACCAAAAATGAATTTCTGGAAAAACAAAAGACAACATCCGATGCCGCGAACGCTGGCGGTCACCTTGCTCAGCTACAATAACAATACCTTCAATCCGCTAATAACCCGCTACCGGGTGAACGATACATGCAACTGGACGCGAGGTGCAGGGAGTAAAGTGAGTACTTCCAACTCAGTGATAATAAGAGTAAATAATAACTGAGAGGCAAGAAATCACGTAAGAGCACTCCATCATGCTATATAGGACAGTACAACCCTTTTTAGAAAACAGTAAGACCGTGAAAAATCCTTCAGAAAATATCTGGCTCAGTTTAGAAACCTCTTTTGAAAATATCTTTTTACAACAGTCAAGCAAATGAATGCGTATTCAGATAATGCAAGTCCGCACATAAGTCAGCCCCTCGGGCACAGCACTCCACTAACAATTAACACCAGGGCATCTGGTAAACAGTGCAAGAAGTAGCATGAATGCCAATGAAATGAGAGCGCTGAATGTCATGACACGTAGTACAAACAGGAACCGATGCATGAATGCAATGCAATGCACATGACCGCTGCGGCGTGCAGCCCGATCCATTTGGGTACCCGCGCTCACTGTGGGGGTTCAGACTCCGGAGGGACTCCTACAGCCCAAGCGCAATATCATCATAGCATCGCTGCGGAGTGCAGCCCGATCCATCCTCAGTCCAGAACATGCAAATGAGCCACTCAGGCAATGTCAAGTAATAGCTTTTAACTCAAAACATCAGAAAAATGCAATTTAAGTCTTTAAACTTTAACAATATGACTGCACATTTCAAAACAGGGTTTAACTCAGGACTGAAATCATTTAATATGCTAAGTGTCATGAAAACAGTGATAATAATCCCTAAAGGATTCAAATAATCGGCACGAAGCCCAGAACATGGCAATCAACCTAAATCACGATAGCATCAAGTAGGTTCCAGTCAATTACGCAGTAAAATCAACAACCGGGACGGACCAAGTCGCAATCCCCAACGGTGCTCTACCCCACGCTCATACCTGGCGTGCAAGTCACCACAATACAGCACTATGATGTGCAAATCCGGGGTTTCAAACCCTCAGGATATCATTTACAAGTATTACTCACCTCGAACCGATGAAATCTCTAGCTCTCAACGCCTTTGCCCCTCAAACCGGCCTCCACGCGCGTCGAATCTAACCAAAATCAGAGCGAATACATTACAATATGCCAAGGGAACAATACCCAATCGAAAACAACCAAGAAATGACAGAAATCTCGAAACTAGCAAAACCCGAGCCCCGGGCCCGCTTCTCGAAAAATTACGAAATTCACATCACCGGATTCCTCGTCTCGCCACGAGTCCATACATATAAAATTCACCAAAATCGGAGTTCGTTTGACTCTCCAAATTCCATTTTTACATCAAAATTCTCAAACCCTAACTTACCCCATTTTTTTTTTACCCTTTAATTCCTTGGGTTTTCATTGTTAATTCATGTTTATACACAATAATAACATAATCTAAGCCCAAGAATCCATACCTGATGATAGCCCTCGAAACCCTCTTCAAAAATCGCCCAAAAATCTCCTTAGTCCGAAGTCCGAAATGTTGTTCTTTCAAAAATTCGCGAAGATGATTAATTTCACTTAACTGCCAGGCATTTCGCTTCTGCGGATCCAGTACCGCTTTTGCGGCTTCCGCTTATGCGGACCTTTCACTTAAGGCAACCTTCCGCTTCTGCGGTCCCCAATCGCATCTGCGGGACCGCTTAAGCGATCCAATGTTCCGCTTCTGCGGAACCTGACCAGGGTTCCAAATTCCGCTCCTGCGAGGTCTAGCTCGCTTCTGCGAGGCCGCCTATGCGGTCATCCTTCCGCTCCTGCGGAATCTGGCAAGGGCCAAGACTTCCGCTTCTGCGCATCTTCCAATCGCTTCTGCGAGACCGCACCTGCGGTCCCATAACCGCAGGTGCGAAACCAACAGATACCAGCAAGGTTGAACCTGCAATTAACTCCAAAAATCTTCCGTTTAACCACCAGAATTCACCCCGAGGCCCCCGGGACCTCAACCAAAAACACTAACACATTCTAATACCTTATTCAAACTTGTTCCAATCATCAAAACACTTCAAACCACGCTAAAACCATCAAATCACATCGGATTCGAGCCTAAGTTTCTTAAAAACTTCCGAATTACGCATTCGATCAAAAACCCGACCAAACGATGTCCGAATGACCTGAAATTTCACACACATATCCAAAATCACCTAATGAAGCTACAACAACTCTCGGAATTCCATTCCGACCCTCGGATCAAAATCTCACCTATCAACCGGATTTCGCCAAAATACTAATTTCGCCAATTCAAGCCTAATTCTACATCGGACCTCCAAAATCGCTTCCGACCACGCTCCTAAGTCACAAATCATCCCCCGAAGCTAACCAAATCACCGGAAATCACATCCGAACCTTCTCACTCATAAGTCAACGTCCGGTTGACTTTTCCAACTTAAGTCTTCCTTAAAGAGACTAAGTGTCTCATTTCTTATCAAAACCAGTCCAAATCAACTCCAACACACCACATACCGATAACGAAACATGAAGAAGCATAAAATGAGGGAAACGAAGCAGTGACACATGAGACGACGGGTCGGGTCGTCACATCCGGCCATTTCAGTAACAAGGTCCAAGAAAATAGGAGGGTTAACCTGGAGCCAGTATGACAAAGTTTTGAGCATCCGCAATGAGAAATATATGGGGGATCATTTGCAGACCTTTTACCCAGTTCAAATCACAACAGCACCATCATTTACTGATATACACAAGAGAAATGTAGCATATTGTACATCTCAAAGTAAGTATTTTAGTGGACATAGAATAAAAATTGCATGTTTACAAGTCACTGCTGTTTTATTGAACCAAAGAGCTCCTCGAATGGACGTTTAGGGATGTCAGTACCTGCCACTATCTCCACGACTTTGTAATGAGATTCTGGATGGAGTAATGCCTCGACTGCAACTTCAGCTACCTGATCTCTGGATATTGAGCCTCCAAAAAGGGTGTCCTACATTGACGGAAGAGAGAGAGCAGAACATTAGATGCAAAAAAAGACTTCTAAAACACAAAATTGAAATGGAACACTAGAGGAAGTAAGCTACATAATGTTACCTCTGGTTGCATGACTATATTCCCTTGTGGTGGATCATTTTTTAGCCCACCAGGCCTAATAATTGTGTAGTTGATGCCAGATTTACGTATGTATCTCTCAGCTTGAAGCTTTGCTACCAATACGAGTCCCATAACATTAAGGATTATGTAAACTGGATTGAACAATTGACCCATTGCAGCTCCATTGACGAGAATTGAACTTATAAGGACGAACCTATCAATACCAAGTTTTTGACATGCATCCACAAGGTTCACTGTGCCAAATTTATCAACCTGAAAGAGTAAAACAATGATAGGACACATTAGCTGACTTTCACCACATTTAAAATCAAAGAAAAACACAACTACTACAACTGAGATGAAAAGTTACAGGACATCTGCATGTGAACATGGATAACGCTAATGGAGGACATCTAATGCTTTGCTAATTCAATGATAAAAGATATGAAAACGAAAACAATAACAACCACTCTCAATCCCAAGCAACTTGGGGGAGATTAGGCACCATAACATCTTCTAACCTCAACTCAGCTTCACTCTTCTTATGAATAATGCATGAAAATGAGTACCACCAATTCTAACAACATAGATCCAAGAAGAAGAAAGATGAGTGGTGCCGAATTATTGGAGTACCTAGGTAATTGGGAACAGAAGTTTAGCTGTCAGCGAATGAGAATTGAAAGCTGAAATGCGGCTGAGTCGTTATCTTTTGGAGCATTACACTGAATAGAATTGCCTAACACTGTATTTGTTTCTTCAAATAAAGCTTCTATATCTTGTTGGGGGGTCTTTTGTAGCATTTCTTTGGATCCAAATGTCAAGTACTGTATATGTTTCTTCATTTAACGCTCTAGATCCCAAGTGAAAGCTAAAGAGTATAGAGCTTAAGAGCTGATACAGTAATCTTTGCTTCAACTTAACTCCAGAATGAAGCTATAGATTGAAAGTTCCAAAGGTTGGTTTGTCAACTCCACTAACTTTTAGCTATTTGAGACATACAATATGCTTTTACAAAACCTCAAATACACGACTCCTAGCACCAACCTTCCAAGGTGTCAACAAGTTCAATGAAGGCTGGAAGCCTGTAGCACATATTACAGCATCTGAATCATCACCAATAGCATCGGCAAGTTTAGCTGATCCCTCTGTTACATCTGCTTTCACCTGAAAACAATCAGAACAAAATTGAGATCCCAAGTGGGTTGTTTGGGGGGGGGGGGGGGGGGGGGGTCTAAAACAAGTTTGTCACTATCAGAGAAGGTATATGTTCCCTTTATACTCCCTATTTTCCCATTATGCAGAAGAATGTATTTGAGCTTTTCTTAGCCTATATCAGAATAGCTAAACTAGGAATCCATAAAGCAGTGTTGTAGTGTTCATGTAGCACCAGGTCCTATAAATGGTGATGGAGTAAAGACCCGAGTGAGCACGGTGGGTGGGGACTCGGACCGTTTTCCAGTTGAATCAGGTGTCGGCACTCAGCCCTTTTTTGTTTGCTCTAGTGATGGACGTACTGACGCGCTCACATCCCAGGGGAGGTGCCGTGGAGCATGCTATTTGCAGATGATATTGTATTGATTGACGAGACGCGAGATGGTGTGAACGTGCAATTAGAGGTATGAAGGCAGACCCTGGAATCTAAAGGTTTTAAGTTGAGCGGGACCAAGACAGAATACTTGAAGCGTAAGTTTAGTGGTGAGACTCAAGGG